CATAATCATAACAATTTTCCCATCAATTTCAATTATTATTATGTTTACAATTGCATTATTTTATTTCATACACAATTGTTATACATATATATATATACACACACGAACACTTTGTTGTTTTTTCTTTTTTCAAATGAAAAAATATTTCTATTTCTCTCATTCTGCCATACCCATCAGTGGTGGCCCCTAAAACTATGTAATAGCTTTTGCAAAACTTTTTGCAAACAAGAGAAAATTGCACAGGAAAAACTTTTTCCATTTCTTTCCAAAAAATAAGTCGGAAAAAGTAAACTTTCTTATTTTTATTCTCATTCTCTTGCCCATCTTTAACTGTCAATTATGTAATTAATTAAGTGATTTGCTCATAAACTTTAATTGACATACATACACCCATACACTCTCACATACACTTACTGAAGACCTCCCAAATAACTGATTGTGTAAGGCACATAAGTAGAAAGTAATTAGTTTTAGAATTTTTTTTATTAGATTAACCAAAAGAAATGATTTTATTGTTGGTTTTGTGTTTTTCTTTTTTTTTTGTTGAACAGACAGATAGACTGGATAACGAAAAAAAAGAAAAATCGTTACGCAATAAATATACATACACACACATGTGTATGTATGTGTGTGTCTGGAAAGGTGTGTGGGATCTACAACAATGGCCCACTTGATTGATGGCAACGAACAATGTTGTTTAAATGACAAGAGTTTACCTTGTAACCTCCATCACACATAGATACAAACATACTTGTCGTTTGTGTATTTGTAGGTAAAAATATATGTGTGTCCGTATTTGTTTGATGTGCTGTCTGTATTTGTATTGGTGTGTATTTAAAAAATGCTACATTTGTTATGTAGCATTATTTTCGGAGAGTTGTTTTTCCATAAACTCTGGCTAAACTTGCAAATGTATTTTATATTTGTATTTTTGTGTGTCATGGCAACACTCTCATACCCATACAATCACGCACACACACATCCTTCGTCACAGACATGCCTTAAATATGCACAGACAATGACAAGGATTACGTTTTGTTTTTAGCTACACACCTTTATTATCATTTGAAATATCTTGTGATTTCAATTAATTTTCTTTTTTGTATTTTTGAAATATTTAAATGTGACAGGAACGCCATTACTGTTGAATAATTTTTTTTTTTTTTTTTTTTTTTTTTTTTTTGTAAAATATAAATTCCTATATATTTATTCAGAAGTTATTCAGGCCGTTTGCATTTTTGGGTAAGGTTTGTATGCCCTAATTGATGGTGTATTTAATAATAAATATGAGGGGCGACAAACTTTTTTCGATTCCCTTCGCAAAATAAATTTTCATAATTAAAGTGGGTCTGCAGAAGACTTAAATAATTTTGAAAAAAAAATCATTCTAAAAAAGCTTTCTGACCTAAAATTCGCTGTAAAACAAAGACACAAGATCAAATGGCTACATTTTATCACTCGATTGAATTTGGTTATATATCGAAGAAGATATTCTTAACATGTATATTGACTTCAAGAAAAAAGTTTAAAGTATTGTTAAAACATCAACATAGTTATGTCGTTATATAAAATTGTAAAAATATAAAATAATACGCTCAATTTATTTTATAAAATGTTTTTCACTTTTATTGCATATATTTGAAACTTCCTATAGTTCTCCCATGCCTAAAACACATACTTTATGCCTTTTGCAGATACATTCATTGGACAATGCAGAATTCAATGGCCTTTCAACGTACTTTTCTTAATATTTTAAAAGAATGAACTCCAACGGGTTTAAATTTCATGAAAGTGGCGCCCAACGCGGAAATATCTAAGGCATTAAAAAATTAAATGACGTCAAATGTAACAATAGCTATGGCATGAAATAATCTAATAATGTGATAATAGACCTTTAAAAACGGTGGAGGTGGAATTTAACATATCAGTTCCATTTGGTCGAATATTGTGACTTAAAAGTTCAATCCATCACAACTTGACTCGTTTATCAATTACTACTTCAAATATCTACAATGAATGAAGTTTACACGAAAGTGGCACCCAATATCGTCAATTCATCCTTAAGATACTAATTGATAAAAGCGGAAGGGCTTATTATACAGGGTGAGATAAAAAAATGCAACAAAGTCAAGCGCCATAATTTTTAGATTTTTTTAAATTTTATTAAATGAAAACAAAAAATATCGAAAATAACAATGATGGCCTTCAAACGGTCAATGAAACCATCTTACGCTAGCCGAATGTTGCTCTGCGGTTTTTTGGCCCATTCCAGGCGAAGCGCTAACTTGAGGTGATCGACACTTTAGTATTTTTTAGTGCCAACCTTGCTTTCCAAAATACTCCAGGCACAATAGTCCAACAGATTGGTATCCGGAGATTGTGTAACCATGCGTGCTGAGTGCTGTTGGAATGCCCAAGGTCTGCGGCCAAAATGTTTGCGTGCCCAAGGCTTCAATACACCCTCCAGAATATTTTCGCGATAATATTCGGCATTTATTCTGATGCCACGGTCAATTAATACGAGCAGAGAGCGGCCATCGGCTGTAATGACGCCCACACCATCACCATTGCCGGGGCTTGAGCTCTGGTGGCCAACCGAAGGTGCACATTTTCAGCAGACCTCTTTGGTAACTAAACACGATCATTTTGTTTGTTTACAAACTGCTGGACAACTTTCGGCCAAACGACTCCTTAGCTCTTTTGACTCTATTTTCTTTCTGTTGTTGCATTTTTTTTGAATTTCAATGGCCTTGGTACGAGCGATGGTACGAGACACAAAGGATTTATTCACATTTAAATGCTGGAGTGCTCTAATGATAGCCACTTGTGGTTTTCCAGCCAAATATAAAGAAATCACACTATCACGCTTGAATTCCATCACGAATAACTTTTTTCTGGAAAATTCTCAACAAAATGCTTTTGTACGCTTGTAAGCAATATATTGGGCTGTCACTTAAATAATTTAAACAGCTGTCGGTCGAGTGGCTTAGAAATGACAGTAGTCTGAAGTTGGTCACCCTGGCATAATATGTTCGTCATTCCATTTGTAGCTTATAGAAATAAAAATTTTAGACCTAAGAAAGTGTAAATATTCTTGATCAGCGCAAAATTGTAAGACGATTTAGCCCTGTCCCTTCGCCCGTCTGTTGTAATCACGCTAGGGTCAAAACGAATTATGATAGGAAGCTAAAATTTTGCACAGATAGGTCTTTTTTTCGGCAGGCAGGTCAAGTTCGTAAATGGACTATATCGGTCCACGATATCGAATGGTCCCCACATAACGGTACCTCCCGATATTTGGTATTTTGATGATTTTAGGCACATTTTCCAACGACATTGTCTGAAATTCTATAGAAGTAGTTCTCTGTGAGTACTTTACCACCTGAATAATAATTGTCTCTATGTGTCCGCAATATCATATAGCCTCCTTATAACAGTACCCCAATATTGGGCATTTTGATGATTTTAGCAACATTTCTCAATGGAATTGGCTTAAAATATACACACGGAGTTCCTTCTGAGTACTTTACGCATGTTTTTTTTGTTTGTTTGTTTTTTTTTTTTTTTTTTGAAATTTTCCAATTTTCTTTCGAAAAGTGGAAGGTATAAAAAGTCCGACCAACTTAGCTACTTTTTTGCTTATTTTTCTACATAATGAAAACCAAATATTTCAATATGCAGCTGATTCGATCAGAAATTAAAAATAAATCCCTTAAATACCCCAAAAAGATTTTACCGATTTGTTGTGGCTAAACCTAAACGTGGTCCATTCACAATAAAAATAAATTCAAGCATAAAACACATATTTTGCAATAAATTTCAAATAATAATGTGGTAGGAAGATGAACAGAAAAATTCGAATTAATTCAAAACGTTCACTCGGAGGTATGAATTCCGATTTTATGAAATTCGCCCATATATATATATAATTTTGTGCATGATCAATCTTCGCACAATCTTCGAGATTTATGGAGCTCAATAGCCTATCAATAGCCTATTTTCTGAAATGGGTTTCGTGCCAAAAAATAGGATCTAATTTCTTTTTCTAAGGAGACACTTTTCAGACATACCCAACGTTATGAGCTATGGTTGAGGTTAGAAAGGTATCGCAAATTTTAAATTCCGTTAATTTAAAAATTCCAAATCCATTTCATAAATCTTTCATTATAAATGAGGTTTCTATTCTTAGCCGCCGGCTATTTATAGATTCTAATCTGAAAATTTGTTTTTGTTTACGCTGAGGAATATTCATTTTTAATTTACAACGACTTGAAAAAATTTATCTAAAAATATTATTGTATTCTCAGAGTTGTCAAATTAATTTTTTTCTTATTTTCTCAAATTTTCTATATCTTTGAAATTAAAAATTAAAGAAAATTTCAAAAAAGTTATTACATAAGTAGTGTGAGCATGCCTGAGATACGCATTAACGCCATTGTTGTTCAAATTGTTTTTTCATTTTTTTTTTTTTTCGAAAACAAGGAGAATGAGTTGGAGGGTCCTACTCTCTCTCACCATGACAACAGAAAACAATCTCTCCCTACACTCTCTCTGAGTTTCAATGCCAAATTGTTTCCATTTTGACAAATTGCTGAATAAAATAGAAATTTAGCTGAAAAGATTTTGAGTGTTTTGCTTTTGCTTCGTCCTCTTGTTCTTTTTGTTATGTATATATGCATATATGTATAGGGAAAAATAAAAATATATTTCACCTATACATACATGAAGCAGAAAAAGGTATATACATCTAAATATATATATACAACTTGATTGTGTACATACAATTTAAAGAAAAAAACTATTTTTTTTTTTGTATTATATACACAAAAAAAGGATCTTTTTAAAATTGATTTTCTTCCGAAGGAATTTGAGAAAATTTCTGAATATGAATGGATTTTTGCAGAAGGTATTTGAATTAACTTCGAGGTACAAAAATTGTATTCTTTTGAAAATATTTGTTATTGCATAATACCTAATCCTGAACTAATCCCTTATCTTACCTGTATCACTTGGTGCTATGTTACTCAAACGATTTGTTATAAAACCCCGTAGATTGGAGACAACACGCTGGGGCGAATTTGGCCCGCTGCCGATGGAGAAACTTCTTAACTTCGAAAACAGGGCGGCTGATTCACCGCTACTGCCACTGCCTGTGGCGGCGTTTGTATGGGGCTCGTTAGAGGACGCCACTGTCAAGACTTTTCAAACGATTTGTATTTTTATTGAATTTTTAACTTCGGGACACTTTTTCACAATTTTTAGATTTTTTTTTTCAAAACTATTTTCTTTTGGATTTTTTATTTTTTTAAATTTTTGGTATTGAAAATAAAATTGTCCTTTATTAAATTTCCCTTTTCTTCAAATGGCTCTCCACTGCAGTCCCTTTTGTTATTCTATTGATATGTAATTTTTGGTAATCCTTGTTTTGGATATTAAAGGAATTTTTGGTTCACTGACACTTTTTGGAGATTTTTTTTTTCAAATAACCGTTTCGAAGACACGCTCGTTTAAATATTTTTTCTTTTTTTGTAAAATTATCGATTTTTTTCTTCTTTCTTTTTATTTGATAGGATACTTCTTTTGTTGAATATATATTTTTTTCTGTTGGTCTGTCTTCAAAAGTCCAAGTGTTTTATTCAATTTCTTTTTTGTGGGTCTTGTGTGTGTTCTTTTTTTACACTAGACTTCGGACGAGCAACCGTGGCGTTCGTTGTTGTCGTCCAGGCCAGAGCAAAGGTAACTTCTGTCTGGTAGCAAGAACACGTTGAGACCATCACATGCCCGTGCACAAACCGCGAGCATTTTCCCACAGTGGGTGGGTGGGAAAGTGGTTAGCAGCCAAGCAGTTAGCCTGGAATTTCAGTACCAGTTGGTACTAAGTTGCAATCATTCGAACTCCCAAAACACCACCCACTCACAATGGTATGTGCTTTCCAAGCAATAAAATATCACAGGTTCTCTATTTTCCATGCATGAGAGAAAGAGGAGAGCATGCGAGAGAGATAATTTATTGGTATGCCAGCCTTAAAGTATGCTTTAAAAACAACGGGGGGTTTCATCCACAAATGTGTGTGTGTGTGTGTGTAAATGTGCTTCTCTCTTTCTCTTTGAATTTAAAGGAATTTTAGGACACATTTCATTCAAGCGCAGGCGCACTCGCCGCTCAGCTGCTAAATCTTATTCTTCTTCAATTTTTCCTTTCTTTTATAGCCTCCATTGCTCTAGACAATCTTGTCCGACCTTTTTTCCCCGCATTGAAACAATGCGACACACACACGCTCACTTGTTTCCTTAGCTTCCTTTCACTTTAATGAGGCAAGCTTACATTTTATTGTTCTCCTGAATTGTTTTTTTTTTGTATCCTTTGCCTTCGGTTTGTCTTGTTTTTGTTGGTGTGGTCTATGTGTGTGTCTGTCGGCAGTAACCTGCTCTTGCAAAAAATAAAATTTTTTACCCCCAATTGGCTTGTGGCATTTCTATCCACAAATGTTCGAATGTTCATGCTGGTTTGCAGGCTGCCAGGATATTTGGAACATTTGTGTGTTTCCCATGCCCAAATTTGAAGGGAGTGAGGGGGGAGCTCGATTACCTTTTTATTTTTGGCTCAATGTCTTTGATTGTTGTTGGCGTTGTCGTTGTCTCGATATATCGAGGCGAAAATTACATTAATGTTTGATTTGAATAATTATTTCTTGAGCTTATCACAAGTATCACATGACTGCCAAAATTCTAAATACCTTAACGCTTGAAAATTGAGTTATGTAATTGTGGTAGATTTTTCAATTAGAGCATCTAAGACAGAGATTTAACGAATTTAAGTGAATTGTGAGGATATGATATTATGCTGTGATACAATTTTTGAACATTTTAGGGAATCAAAATTATGTTTTTAATTTATAAAATTTAATTATTGCAATAGAGGTCGAATTTTGAAATTAAAAAAAAAAAAATAATTTATATATTGTCTGTAATTCATTGAAATACTTGGGTAATTGTTGTTAATTAAAAGTTATATAATTTCCTATGGAACTCAGGAAGGCCTATATGTATATGTAATAATAACAATCCTCTAAAATGGAGGAAATTCAACTGCTAACAAATTGGTTGGAGACTGAGGATGGACAGACATTCTACCCATTGAGATTCCAAAATATAAAATTCTAGCAAACGCGGATAAAAATTATTGAAGAAACTGAATTTTAATACCATCTACTTTAACATAGATCATTTTAAATAATACGTCTAATGAGACCCATATTTCATATTTGGGCGATATTTTTTATTTCGTACGTATTTGTGATTAGTGTACGTACGTATTGAGATTAGTGGACAGCTTAGGTAACATAGTATCCGTAATTTTTGTAGATAGCTATATAACCTAAACCTAACATACTTTCTTCGTATTGAAATTGAAAAATTCGGAGTGTAAAAAAAAATCGTTAGCTCATTTGCATCGTTTGAGATTTGTAATTATTATTTATGGCTGTGGAGGAGGTATTGAGCGATATTTTCAATTTTCGCAACGATAAAAATATTTAAATTAGCAAGGCTTGAAGAAAATCTGCGTATCATTTATTACACAAATTATTATTCGAAACTTTTAAACTTGGTAGAGAAACTTCCAGCAGGGGGGCACCAGTACTATTATTCATTTTCGTATCTGATATGCCAGTATTACAATGTGCTCTTCAGAACGAAATGACGTAAGTCGATAAACATTTACTCAGATGTGTGTTAGGTTTGCAGGAATTTTGTTATTGAAAATCGGCTAAATAGGTCCACGTGTTGGTATAGCCCCATATAACTGTATCGACATATTTAAGGTTTTTTTTTGGAGATTTTAATCACAATTTTTAGCGAATTTGCTGTAAATTAACATCATGTGCCTATTATGTAAGAAACACAGAACTGACAATATAGATGTAAGTATGACATAAAATAGCTCATGCACGTCCACGTCTTCGAATAGTTTCCATATAACGGTATCTCCCTATATTCGGTATTTTGATGATTTTAGCGCATTATCCACCGGAATTGTTTCAAATTTCGTATTGTTAGTTCGTAATGGGTGCTACAGCCTATGACAGAAAATTGTCCAGGTCTTCGTAACGTAAGTCTTTATATTCGGTATTTGACTGGTTTTAGCGACATTATTCACCTGAATGATTTCTAGTTTTTTATTTGAAAATCGTAATAATGAAAATAATTGCATTTACAGGCCCATATCTCCGTAAAATCCCTAATATAATGGCAAACCTCTATATTCGGCATTTTTATGTTTTTAGTAGTACTTTTCAACGGATTTTTTTCCAAATATGTAAGTAAGGACCAGCAGACTTGTTTACGCTCAATTTTTAAGAGTATTTAATAATACCGATAACGAATCCGAAATGTATAATTTTTTACATATTATAGGCGTTATGGTTATTCAAAATTTTGACCAGTTGTGAGGAGGTGCCGGAAGGAAAGGTTCATTTAATTCTATCTTCATACAAAACTATTGAAGTGTGTAAAATTTGTTTCAAATTTTATAAAAGTTATGATTATTCAAAAATTTGACCCCTTGTGGAACAGGTACTAGAAGGAATGATTCGATTTTCGCACCTTAGCTTGAACCAAGTCCTATGATTTTATCTTTTGGCCTTTTGTGAGGGGGCTGTGGACCGATCTATCTATCTCTGAACACGATATAAGATTGATAATAATATTACGATGTGTCAAGTTTTAAATCGGATACTCCATTATAAAATTTCGTATCGGGCCTAAATAAATATTATATATGTGATCATTTTTAGAAAATGTTAAAATGTGCGTGAGATACAAGAAATAGTCGACCGAAACATTCTACTTTCATACTTCATCTAATACGGATAAAAATATTGGTATGGACAAAATTACAAGAACATCGAACATTTATATTAAATTTTATGCGAAACCATAAATTCCATATTCATCTGAGGTTTCTGGTTGAGGCAAAATATTTTTCTTGAAAATTGTCACCTTTTGTATCAGGAGTGGACCGATCTCCGATTAAATTTCTTAATATTAAAAACCTCAGAGTTGGCTATAACTTTATGTACTATTTTATTTTACTCATGATTTTTTTATGTTGAAAATTTTTAACGCAAGTCCGTTCTTTATTGAAAACAAAGTCTAGAAATATCGAAATATTCATAAGTGTGATTACAATTTTATTTCTCCGAATATAATTTGTGTATTTTGTACAGATATGAATTGATAGGTGTATATACAAATTGTATATGAACAGTTCATGGTCACTGCGCGAATACCTATGTATGTACACAGATGGCGTATGCAATTCCACTTTTTTCCACTTGAGTTTAGATGAATAGTAAGCTGATTTTTAGAAATGTAATTAGTTTAGTCAATTAATCAATCAATAACAGTCGTTGAAATGTAATTTTACTTTTATGTAAAAAAATAAAAAAAAATTTTTTTCAAATGTGAATGATTTCAAAATACATACATCGCTAAATAAAATGCAGGTATTATTTAATATTAGAAATTGTACCGTGGAATTAAATTAAATTTGTAATATGCTTGTAAGTATTTTATATAAATTTACATGATGTGATTCTGAATCAATGTCACAGGACTGATATAAATTTTTACAATGGATAAAGTATATAATTTCTTTAAAAGATTTAAAATTGCTACAACAACAAAAAACAATGTATGCTACAATAAAAAATAAATAAATATAATAAATTACAAGCTTTAAGGAAAGCTAAAGGGTGCTTTCCTTATTCAATTTCATAATTTTAACTTCGATTTTCAGTTACAGATATTGTACCGAATATCATTCTAATTGACTAAAATGTAAATTAGGATGAAATTTATACATAGGAGCCAAAGCTATATCTGTACCGCTTCTCTCGAAATTACATAAATTAAATTTTAGAAGAAATGTTTAAGAATAATTTTACAAGGTCTACAAAAACCTGAGTTATTATACCTCAGTCATATAGCTAAAGAGACTATATATTTTTAATTGTCAATATTTGAGCGAGTTCGGAGATGGGCAACATGAGTCCACTCCTTCTGGTATCTCGCCCACAAATGGGCAACATTTTCAAAGAAAATAATTTACCTCTTTGAAAGAGAAATTTTTAATTTAC